CAAGCAATTTGATATTATCGTTTTATTGGAGCCATCACTATACGACTGCTAAAGATTATATCTGTCAGCCTGTTGTAGTAAATTGTCCACTACTTATTTATAGTATGGGTATAATAATATTACAATAATAATCTACTGACGTGATGATTTTAAAAGGCGTGTTTCTATACGAGTTTTAATATTATATTTCCATCAATGTGATATTATATTATTATTGTACTCGACATGTGTCTACAGAGTGATTCTTTTATTATGAACCAACAATTTTCTTGGGGTATTTTAAGTAAATTTGATTTCTGTTCATACTCTCCCTCTCTCAAGGGCGCCCATGGATTGCATTTAGTAAAAGTGTAGTAATAATAATCATCGTAATAATACGTTTGGATCGTGTGTAGGGGAAGGACTAGTGTTGAACAAGTGTGTGAACTGGAAAGTACTAGTGTAACAGTGATGTAGTCGGGATTTTTTCAGCAGGTGGGGTGGAGGTTACAGATTACGATGGTCAACAAATTAAGTTCGTACTGCACTGCTGACAATATCCTATTATAATAAGTAGTTAGGTTAGGTAAAGCAATATGATTCACCAAAAAGCAACACTTTCGCGTCTCGTAACTTATCAAGAAACTCACTGTGGAAACTTTCAAAATGTTTTTCTTTCACACATATAAAGTTTAAATATAAACTCTATCCTCCTCCCCTTAAAATATTATCATATACTTGCTTAATAAAAATGAACTAAAATAAAGTATGCTTACGTATAATATAATCAAGACTAGGCAAGTTAGTGATAATTTTTATCTCAGTTAAGTTAATTTTTTTTCAATTAAATTAAAAATGAAGTTAATACATATTTTAAATACATTAATTGAATTACAAAATTAAGTTAAAAAATAACAATAATTTGACTGAACTTCAGTTAATAGGTTAAGTTAAAAAACAATTCATTGATTAGGTATTAAAAATTTAAATACCTAATGAAAGCGAATGAAAATATGAAATATTACCTGTGCATATAATTTTAAACGTGTGGAGTCGTAGTATTTATAGAACTCTAATCATAACTCAGACTCAGGGATCAATTAAATTTAAATTTGAGTAAAAGTGGTTATTGTATATTATTTAACATCATTAATTTATTATTTTACAAAATAAATAACTTAAATAAAGAAGTACAAACAAATTATCTATTATTATCAATTATAAACTTTCATTCAAAATATCTATTAAATTTTAACAACAGATAAGTAGTTCCCAAGTAATACCTAAGTAGATATTATGAACATAATTCCCGGGATCGTGATTATTTGTGTCCTTTTTTATTATGATTAATTAGTTTTGATTTGTCAATATAAAAATTAAATTCTTCGTAAATGTAAATCTTGTAATTATTTTTTAAATAATGTTTGATGATTTCCAGTCACTCTTAAATATACGAATTTATAATATTTTATACGGACAACGGTAATAAATAAAATATTTTTCTGGATGATATGAAAATTTAAAATTAACTTAATTGGGAATGATAAAAAATTTAAATTGATTTCAAGATAACGCCGAGACACACGAGTTAAATTAATAAGTTGAAATTAACTAGCCGTCAATTCTGTCTTTCCCACTCTAACCTCTTAACCACTGGCTATTACGACATTATTGTATCAAATATGACATTAAATTGTATTTTCAATTAATTTAAAAAAATTATTTTCATCTAAAATTTCAGGGGAAGAAGACTTAAGCCCAGAGCCCCCGTCCCGTTACGGCATTGAATAATAATGTAGGTGTATAGTAATGGTCGAAATTTTCCCGAGATTCGGTGCGAACGTCAACAATGATAATAATTGCAACATCGGAATTTGAAATGTTTTCTTTTTACAGAATAATGACAGCTACTAATTTGTCAGAAATAGGGAGGCGGTTTCGCCGAACTAGAGCCTAGAACTATAGTTACTAGTTTGAAAGGCGTCTTTACACGATACTCTTATAATTTGAGAAGTGTTCATCATTCGACTGGGTCTGTAATAATAGATGATAGATGACCGTTTTAATAACTCGGCTCTGCAACGGCGAGTGCCAGGCCAAAAAAGTTAGAGAACAAATTTAATATTAAATATATACCTAAATATATATATATATTTATGTATTTACATTGAAGAATATCCCGAAAGTTTTTTCCTTTTTTCTCTTAACGAATTCCGTATCCGGTATTATAGATATGCGGTACACCTAGATTATACCAAGCGATCACTTTTGTAAGTATTTTATAATTTTTTTCCGTCCTGTCACCTATATACGACACACGCTATAATCTATCATCTTAATATAACTTTACTTGTGTCATTTCAAAAGGAAGACGACCTACATTTTCGATTCTCTGAGCGTATTAAAAGTTTTAAATATAAAACATCAAACACTCGAATTATAAAGTCTCTTAAATTTGAATCCATATGTTAACACGTGAAATGTCACTAAATTATAAAGTGAATACAAAAAAAAAAAAAATATATGTATGCATTGTATTAGAGTGATTTTTATCTGGGCGATATAGCATAAAGTTATAGAAAAACCCTAGCATTTTTACTAATCGAAAATGTGTTTTCAGTGGAAAAACAAAAACGCATCTTGGTAAAACTGATAGCCACACTCAGAATTTAAATTTTAGGTTTAAATTATAATATGAACAAAAGCATTTTGAATTTAGGTGTCATTTAACTATTAATTTACAAGTATTGTTATGATCGTTTCAATTTGGAATACAACATTTGTATTGAATTGCGCGTGTAGTATGATGCGTTATTTTTCATAAAGCACTTAATAAATTGATGAAAAAAATACACACGTATTATGAAATCAAATTAAAAGCTCTTCCTTGCATGATCTACCGTTTTTTGTTTTGTTTTCGAGATGAAAACAATTTTTATTTCATTACTTTTACGAGCAGATGATTTTCATTTATTAACGACATGGTAAATTAGGTTAATTATTGAACGACACGAATATATTTTATAATGATTAACGCGGCCGATTTAATTCAAATTCTATTTAGGTACGTTGTTTTTTAAATGCATAAATATAATTTTTCTTTTTAAAAATATTTTATATAATAAAACAGTATTGTTTTATAAAATATAGCCATTCAATTAAATATTTCGCTCAACGGTTTCTAAACTAGATTTCTAATAATATTTTAAAACTGATACTTATTAAATGAAGGTCGATGGTGATGTTTACTGCAGACTGTAACAATAATATAAGTACATTATAATATTATAATATGTTTAATTTAAATTTAAATTAATATTGACTATCAACATAGCAGATGTGTAATAATTCAAGAAAAGCTTTTGATGTATTATTTTGGTTTTAATTATAATAATGCTGTGCCGCATTTTTTTTTTTTTATTCTTGAATTATGTAGCAAATATAAAAAAAACGTCATAAATGTGATTTTAAATTTCAAGGATAATGATTTATTTTTTTATTTTTGTTTTTTCTATTTAAGTACTTACTGATCGTTTAAGATACAAACAAAAATAAATATAATTGTGGAATTAAAATACAATTGCGTATTTCGGATACCTATATTAAAATATTTTACATTTTTATACGAACTGAAAGTGGTTGAATAATATGCATAGGTACGTTATGCTACGGCTACGGTAATAATATGTGAACTTTTCGTTCAATAGAACCAATTTTGTGATGCTAGTTTTAATATCTAAGTGAATTGGTTTATTATATGCAATTAAAGATAAGTAAATTGTGTTTGTACGTTGGTTTTTTCGATATTTTAATTTTTTAAGTGAGATACGAGTATACGTGAATTATCAAAATGTATAAATCAACGCTGATCAACGCATACAAATTAAAATATTGAAAAAAAAAAATTAACGTGCAAATACAGACAATTTGTTTACCTTTAAGTTTATGCGAAATTCACTGTAATATTAAAATTAACAGCACAAAATCGGTTCTACTGCACGAAAAGTTGACGTTCTCCAATTTATAACATTGACCGTAACATATTATAATAATATTATATAACACACTTATATTTTGTGTTACATTATAATTATATCTGTATGAATTATATGAATTTTAATAAATATTGAAATGTTTTAATTTTTGTTTAATAAATATTGAAATGTTTTAATTTTTGTTGCAAAATTGGTTGAATAGTTTGGATTTTATAAATTTGATTCATTATAAAATAATACTATATTATGTTATATTATTAAAAATCCAATGGAGGGGTGGCTGACAAAACGGAAAATCGTTTCGCGCTGGACAACTCTACTATATCCATATTTATGGTAGAGCTACTAAAATTTCACTGTACATTAAGCAGAATTTTATCTGTATCGTAAGATGTCTAGTTTTGTTGTTAACATAAATACAATTAAACATTTCGGTTATTTTGGTTTTTTAATTTACTTATAGTAAAAATATTGGGTATAGTGCTATCAAAATTAAATACAAGACACATATAAAGTAATTCTGAATGTGCTTAATTAAAAAAAACTGACTACATCTTTTGAGATTCAGAGTATAACGAGGAATGTATTAGTGTTACTATGATGTATTTCTTCACTCTCCGTGTCTGCGAACAAATTTCCCATCAGAAATCTCACTACAATCAAAAACCGAAATGAAAGTATTTTTTTTAGTATTTTGGATTTAGTTAATACATTTAGGAGATTAATTTCTGATTCTCTTTGTTTTTTGATTTAAAAATACATTTATAATTTAGTAAAAAAAGGGAAAGTTTTTGGAAAAAACAGTTTCATTATTTTAAATTGTCTATTTTATCATCAAATTAGTCTCTATTAGACACGATAAAATGTTTAAAACATTTTGGTTAATTTTAAATTATTTATAATCATTTAACATTTTTTAGTTTTATGTGGATACAATTGTTTTTGTTAAACAGAAATACTTGGTACATTTAACTTGAGGTTTATTATATATTATATTTAGTTAAAAAAAAAAAAAGTCAAGTGTATAATGAATAGTAGTTTTTATATAAGCTTTTTAAAGTTAAAATGTTTAACGAAAATCATAAAAATTACGGCATTTAAAAACATGTAAATTTTTTTCGCGCTGAATCGTGATTTTTTTAATATTGGTTTACCTAATTATATTCCTGGGGTGTTGAGTGTTTTTCACCAAATAAAATATATCGCACAAATTATTCGATTTACATCAAATCTGTTATAAATATATATTTTATTATAATATCGTGAATAATTTAATATTAATAACTTATGTACTGAGATAGTGAGACATTATTGTTTAACTAATAATAATAATAATAATAATTATAGCTATACATTAAAGTATGTGTATATATACATACACACACACACACACACACACACACACACACACACACACAAAGAATTATACTATTATACAGGGTCTCACTTAAATAAATGTACTAATAAATAAAACAAATCAATAAATAAATAACTGGCAAAAGGGGATGTCTTATCTTATAGTTGTCTAGTTTAGTCGAATATTTTGTTAAACGGCACTCTGTGGAAAAACTGACGGGCGATCGACTGAAACGCCATGCTCAAAGCAGACTCGAACGCAGGCTGAAGTTCTTTCAAAATTTCTCTCCAATTTTGATTCAAAAACATGTTCATGTTGTTTCCTATATTAATCATAACACAGTTGTTTCTAAGACGAACGGTATAATAATAATATAATCAGCTTGTTTCTAATTTAATATTATGATGCAAAAACTAACCTAACGCTTTGTCTCCATTGAACAGATTGTCCAGCTGTATGTACAGTCTTGAAGTACTGAATTTCAAGTCCAAAGTTTCCAGTTCCATGTACTCTTCGTTTTTCCTGGTTACCGGTTTTCCGTTTATGTCGATTGACACTTTTAATCCGGCTAAAATTTTTAATTCAACTGGTTGTTATAATATAATCACGGTCATTATTGAAATAGTTACGAAATTACGACTTTACCTAGGGTCAAATTACTTTTCCCGTCACCATTAATTGGTAGAATGATAATTTTCCCTTGTATGTTGTACATGCCTTCGAGTACGAATGATTCGTCGAAATCGCCTTTGAGATTGAACGTATAGTTATCAATATTAGATCTGTAAATTCATCACAAATCACATTAAAATTTGTCGATATTGGTAGGTTTTTTTTTATAATTATTGATGAAAAAAAAAAAAAGAAAAAAATATCGGTTAAGCAAAATAGTGCGAAGACAATATTATATTTTTTAACCTGAATGGTTTGGCTTTTCCCTATTTTTACAACTATACTTGTTTAACCTATTTAATTGGGAAATTGAAACTTAACCAAGTTTGACGAGAGAGGGGGAGAATAAATCCCAGTCCGCCGAGAATACTTTATCTATACGATAGCTTTGAAATTTACTCGTCTGATTGTCTTATAATAATATTATAATGTTTTATATATACATATATCGAAACTTTATTGAAGTATTGAAATAAATATCACGTTTTATCACAACTTGTATAAGTGGTTTAAAACTTCGGTTCGGGCTAAATCTCAAAAGAACCGCCGATAAAGTTCTTTGCCCCAAACAAAATTCGATCATTTTCCACTACATTACCCATTATTATTAGTAGTAATATAAATGATTAATGAACATATTATTATATTATCATAGGTATGAAAAACAAACATTATTTGAAAAAAAAAAATTGTTTTAAGTATATTCATTCAATTCCTGTTATACTTACTTCATAGATGTTATTTTAAGAGATTTAATATTATGTATATGGAGATCTCTGAAGTTGAGTTTGATAGCCACTGGCCCATTAGTCGAGCCTTGATTTATATCCAAATGCGATATTATTAAAGGATCGATTGGTATTAGTCCCAAGTTTGGTACGCCTAGAAAATAAAGTAGAACATATTATTATAATAATGTTTTAATTAATCGTGATTGCATGTGAAAAACGGAACGAGTCGATCTATACTCGACATTAGATAACTCCAAATTACGATAAAGAGTTAAATTCTCTATTATATTTGGCCTAAGTAGATATATTTGTCTATTGTTATTGTTTAGCTCGTGATAGAATGGTAAAATTATTGCAATTTGTGGGTTCAACGTGTAAAATGAGATATACAGAATGAACCACGAAGACCTGACAAATGCAATAATATTTGTTCCGTTGAATATGTTTAAGATTTTCTTTTTTATTGTAATTATTACTATAGAACCTTCCACTAAGATCCGTATACTTCATATTCTTTTCAAAAATAAAAATAAATTGGGTTTGTCTACAAAATCCTAAAAAGGTGGTAATTTTGTAAATTTATTTTGAAATAAAACGTTGGTGTTACAAATGTTTACTAATGATAATTTGTTAATTTTCTACAATTTTTTGAATTTACGATAATTTAAATTTTATTTATTGCCAACACTAAATAATATTAATCGGTTCACCAAATTTTCCCCGTTAAATATCCTCTTTGACTATTTTGGCATCCTTTTTTTTTTTTATAAACAAGGTACTGCGTTAATTCTTTGTCCGCCTTTTTATTTTGCTTTCTCACAATTCTAAAAAAAAAAAAATTGCATAGAGTTTATCGCTATAAAAAAAAAATGTTAATCAGAAACAAAATTCGTGCGAAACTAACGTCATTCTCGTTTATTAAATACAGTTTAATTATGTTATTAGCGTACGTGTCGATTTACGCGTTTTGGGAGGTATCCGATTATAATTTCGTGACGATTGTCGAGTTTACCAAATACCAATAACCTATGTGTTCGTTTTCAATCGATTTTGTGTTCGTAGATCTGGCGGAAGAATTCCGTGCGTTTTAACAGGTATCTACATAATATTATAGTTGTAATAGACGACCGGCGTGGACGAATTAAAAAAAGAAAAAAAAAAAAAAACACGAAACGACATCTATAAACCGTTTAAAATTACATTAATTTAAAATATTTATGCACGTGTTACGGTAGTTGCACACTCGAATAATAATAATAACAATAACGATTACCTATAATATTACGCTCGCGTGGTACTACCACCGCCGGCAATTTTTTTTTATTTTTCACGGTCAAGTTCAATATTGAGCGTGTTATTACCGTCACAGTTCGCTATTATGATACAGTACACGCAGGCTGGTTAGGCATACCTGTATGGTTTGTACACTAGTGTCACGCGGAGAATTTCAATCTCGCGATAAACTCATTAAAAATAATATCGGCCGCGGCGTATTCAGCCGAGAGCGGACGCGTCGAACTCTTGTGGTACCTATAAATGCCTAATGTTATTCCGTCCGCGTTACCCGTACCCGTGCGGGTTATCCTATTGTGTACTTGCCACCCACCACACCGTGCATACACGGTTATACACCTACAGCGCACCGTGCCTACAAACCGAACTAAAACGGCCGACGTCGTTTGATGCTAATGCGATCACGTATAGATCGGCAGTACCTGTTCTTACGGGTACCTCTTCCGGTGTTCAAGGCTATGGAAATTATCATTACGCATTGATTACGCTCATTAGGTATACGGGAAGCCTAATCGGTGTAGGACGCGTGTGCGCGGATGAAAATCTCGACGGATAATAAAAACTTAAACATTACGTGCACGTATGGATGTCCCGATTGAACCGAGTTTCGATACTCGATTCCGGCTTATCAAAACTATATCGCGGTTTACCTTCGAATTTCAGCAGGATTATTATACGTTTAAACACGGCATTTTATTGAACGCCATCCAATATATAATTCGGTACGACTACAGCAATTTCGTCGGCAATTGAAATTTTCTTAGCGATATTATTATGCCGAACGGATATAACGATATTATATTCTTGCAGTGCCGCAAGGTAATTTTCCTAAGGACGCACTTAGCGCACGCATAGGGACTTTATACCAACAACAACGGCAAACACGTTCAATTGCATTGTTTATGCAGATAGCTTTGCGGATTAAAAAGTTTAACGATAACAATCGAATTATCGTTAACTGTATTTTTTTTTGTTTTTTTCATAAATTGATTATGAAAATATTGTTTTTTACTGAAATATATAGGTCACGACGCGTGTTTATGAATAATATTATCGTTACGTTTAATAACGGTTTTATTATTGTTATTATTCACAGCGTAATATTTATATTATTTTGATAATTATTATTGTCGGAAAACAATTTAATCCGTATCGTCATTATTCGGTATATTTAAAATGTTACAATTATTTCAACATGGACCGCTATACCATCTAAATATACGTATTGTTTGAAATAAAAGGACATCGCTTTGATAAAGATCGATCAACTAGTATCGTTTTGAAACAAGTATCTACAACTTTATTTTGTTTACTCACTCCAAATGATCACCAATACATTTACATTTTATCATTCGCTGTTAGCCATTTTGATTAATACTACTTCTACGTGTGTTATATTGAAAATTACGAATATTTCGAAAACTTTATCCATTTTTTTCTCGATTGAAAATAACGGTATAATATAGTCGTTGTACAATATTAATTTTGTATTGTATGTGGAGGTATCTGTTATTTTTATCGTGTTATGATGGTTTAAAAGAATCCCAATTGCAGAGATAACAACAAAATAATTTTAACTTTTTCCAGTTAAAATCGAAAACCGATCGATGAAATCGACGAAACCGCCATCACGTTATTGTAAATTTGAAAGTTTTTTCAACAATATTTTCCTGGTTTTTCTTTATTAAGAAAATCAAAAAATGACCTTCTTAATAATTAATGAACCAACTAAATACAGTTTGCTTTTAGAAAATATTCTATATTTAGAGGAATATTTCAGGTATAAAAATTGTCAATAGTTAGAAAAAATCGTACATTGTAAAACCAATACAATCTTCGCTACGCTCAAAATCTAAAAATACAGAACATTTATGTTGACATAACAAATCTTACATTTTTAATCAATCTCATTAAAAACAGCGTCCAGTGTTTACCGATGTTTAATTTTATTAATATACTAGTGCAATATATTATAATACTATAGTTAGAATGTAAATTAAAAATCAAGCATTTATACCTATTATTTTAGATTTTGATAGTGGTGGTACATGGGTGTTTTTTTAAAATTATGGATGGTTTTATCATAGTTATGTATAATAATTTATAAATATATTCAATTTCTTTAATTGTTAGTGGCGAGGACTGAAGACGCCCTGGTTCGCTATTTTTGTGGGAATTATAACGGTAAGTTATTAATTTTATCCACTGTTATCTAGACTATCATTGAATTACTCATTCAGTTGTCTAAATTTCTACCTTTGGGAGGTAGTTAGTCCCCTAATCACTCCCTATTTACAGCCCTGTCAAGTAGCATAATATTATGATAGTTAGCAATTTATGATCTTTATAGTTATGTACCTATCACATTATGTAGTAGACACTTAACGCACGCGTCAATTTTATATATAGAGGTTCTAGGTATTCCAGAATGCAGTAAACAAAATTTCGCACATTAATTATTGAAATCAAAATTTTAAGGAAAATGTTATCGTTATATCTCAATTACCGTTATTACCCGAAAAAAAAATAAAAAAATAATTTGGTTATCCTTAGTAGCTGTTAGTCGGGTGATTTTAACGGTATACACATTTTGTGTGTAAACTTATTGTTACAATTAAGTTTTTTTTTGTATATAAAAACAAGATTTTTGTAATCAATCAACAAGAATTTCGAAATCGTTTATAATTTATCAGTATTACATTCACTAAAATATCCCGGAAGTTCGGACTATTTCAGACGTAGTTTAATCTAGTGGTACTTATATAGAAAATAGTTTTGTTCCTTAAACTTGAAACTTTGAAAATTAAACTATGGATTAAATGTCGAGTTTTTGAATTTTATTAGGATTAGTTAATCACGGCAGTCAATTAATTGTCCTCTAAGTAACTTGGCTATAAAAACTACAATTTCGGTTTGGATAGGTTATAGGTTAGGCTTCAGAAGACTGCCCGTCATATATCTTGTTTCTCACTACCGTTATTGTAAATCTTTTCTGCTGCACTCTCTCAAGTTTATAACTACATTTGTTTATATTTTTTAGGGTTTCAGACTCAAGAATAGACCTAACCATCAGAAATGTATAATATTATATAGAGTCACGAGTCATTTGAAATTAGTATGCTTTAATATTTAGATAGGTACTATTAATGCATTTACAGTGCACCTGTATAGTTTGTGTGTGCATCGTTTCATATAAAATTTCAATATTGTGCAAAACTATAGATATAGGTGATATAAATCAATTTTATTTCGATAAAATATAGATTATTTAATCTTCACAAAAATCAAAACACAGAAATTATAATAAAATTATGAATCAGTTAATGTTAAAATTTGGAGAGGCATAAGGCAAGAGCGCTCTCTCTTACCATTATTATTCAAATGATACATAGACAAATGTATGAACTTAGCCAAAGAGAAACTTAACGAAATTGGTTTTGGAGTCAAAGTGGATGGTATTTCGTTTTAAATGGTTCGTTTTGCAGATAATATCATACTTACTACTTATAACAGAAACAGAACTTGAACTTCAAAGAGATGTAACCTAACCTTATACTTCTAAGTGGAGATGTAAATGGACATAAATGAATAAAGTATGCATATAAATTCAAGTAAATAAAAATTATTGACTTGTGCCCATAGTGGAATATTTTTGGGGAGGATTTCGGATCTCAACCACCCTCCCCCCTCAGAAGAAAAAAGGTTTAAAAGTCATAAATGACTTACTATACGAAGGTAAAGAGAAAGAGAATATTAATTTATACTGGGTGATTTTTTTTTATCATTGAACCAGTCATTATTTCGGAAGATCAATTTGATTTATATTTTTTTAACCTTTGTAGAATTGTTTAAGTTTTATTTTAAAACCATTTTTAATTTTTATCCTTGCTTCATGTACCTTAAATAATAATATACTTTTGTTTTTCAAATGTAATCCCCCCTTTTTGAACACAGATTCGTAAAGGGAAGGTTGAACGGTTTAGCGATTTCATCAATAAATAAAAACTTCTTAATAACACCTGAAGAAATTATTGATAAACTGGCAAAAAAAATACAAAAACGTTTACCTTTTTTATTATAAATAACTCTTAATATTTTTTTATTAATAATAGAATAATATAATTATTACGTAATTCATATATTTTATGTATTTTTTATAATGTTATAAAATCACTTATTTTTTAGAAAAATTGTAAACCCTCTACAAAAAATTTGAAAATACGCTATAGTATACCCGAGTATCCACAATCAATGCAAACATATATTAAGAAACTAACTTTTAATGTAAGTTACCAATTTTAAATACTTGGATAGTCTAATACAAGCAGACAGGAGTAAATATGAAATTAAAAAAACTGGATAAGCTAAGGTAAATTTCATAAAAGGAGTTTGATCACAAAAAAATTAATAGAGGGATAAAAAAAATAAGATGAACGTTTTAAATAAAAATTATAAGAACGTTCGTATGGATTTTTGCGAGACTGGGTTATTAATGAAGTGGAAAAAAGATCCCTTGAAGCTTTAGAAATATGATGTTGGAGATGAATCGAAAATAGAAAATGGGAAAAATGAATAATAAATGAGGAATGTATTAACTGAAGTTGAACAAAACAAGAACCTTAATGGATGTCATAATGCGGCGATGATGGAACACGTTCTAGGACGTGATAAAGAATTGTGGCACACTATAATGGAAGGTACAATTGAAGGACGGAAACCATCAGGTGACCAAAAAATAATATTTATCTCAACTGAAGAAAAATGTGAGGATTGTATACAGTGAGTTATAGAAACTCACTGAAGATCGCGAAAAATAGAGTTAAGTTAAATGTTGTAATCCGTCCTCATAATGATTGCAATAAAAACTTATTGATAATCGATATTCTATGGAAAAACAATATCCTTTAATTTTTAGAAATATTTTTCCCTTTTGTGTAGTACCTCAAAACTTCATCAGCGTTCTTGAGTTCTTTCGTGTTTAAAAAGACGTTTTAGATTTCTTAATTAAGATAAAATATAGGTTTTTATTATGATTAAAGATAATAATTCAAGTATTTATATAATACAAATAAAAAATAAAACACATGTTTAGTTTATTTGTTAGGTATAAACTCATTAATATTGGATACTACTTTCTAATTATTATTCTTTTCTTTTAATTTTTAGCAGTTTGTTAAAAAAAACTCACCTTTGGCTAAATGCGGTATGGCTGCCTGGAGTGTTCGCTGGAGGCACAGGTTAACATCGGGATCGTTTTTCTTGCATTTTTCGAATCCTTTGGCTAGAACAAAAAAAAACAAACAAAACGTGAGCGAGGATCAGTGCAGTGCCTAAAATAAGTAAGTAAATAGATAGGTTGGTAGATATACACGAAAGGTGAACGAGTGATACTCACGGAGTTTGACGGCGGTGGACGAGGATCGGGCAGTTTCGAAAACGCAACATAGGCAGTACAGGGTGGTTAGTAAGGTGATAGTAGCATTTCGTCGGGGGGATGCCATTTCGCTGGGTTTTGCGGTTTTCTGTGATTTTGGGTTATACCTATACATAGATAGGTACTGGCAGGCGGACAACTGACTCCGACAGACTAATAATATACTGTCCCGAGCTCGGACCGCACAATCGAATTTATACCGTGTTCCGAATGACACTGTACACTGCGGTACGCGTTTAGGTTACCTATACATTTGCACCCATAATATTATATTGATGGATGTATTGACCTTATACGCGCGTTTCATTGCCACGGTTCTTTTTACAGTCGACCGCCGGCATTGATGATTAAAAATTAAATAAATAAGACACCAGGAAAATTCGATAATTATCCGATGTATCGTTGGTGTTAAAAGTCTATAGCTTAGATAATTGGACAAATTTGGATAATTTATAGCACAGATAGCGGTGACTTGGGCACAAAAACTTCAACATATAAATACCGACGTAAGACTTCCGAGTTTTCGCTACGACGCATCAGGACAATATTGCGCGCAGTCCTTAGTCAAAATGACTCAGCTGTATGATTAAACTATATTGTGTTTTGTATGAAACTATAACGAAATAATAATATGTTATTATTACGATAATAATATTATACCTGTCTATATCTATACTTCCTTATTACTGTCTAGGTTCATTACTGTCACATTACTGTGCGATTTTATGAGCTTTCGATAATATCCATACGTCTTCATAGGCACCTATATAATACAAAATGTATTAATACCGTTTAATAATACGCTTACGCTTATACCTACTTACGTAAATACTCTTTTACACTTTTTCAATGAATTTAATTACTTTTTCCTATACAGTTATACCTACCACCGTATATTAATTCATTCGGTTTTTTATGATACATAATTATATATATCGTTTCAAGACAGTATAATAATTAGGTACGTACTGAATAAGTTGAAGCGCATGTTATAAAAGATGCAATTATTTTGTATAATTTGTTACAGTTTAAACTATTTCTAGATTTTCAACCACGGTGGCAATTACGCAGTTTTATTTTTACTGAAATGCTTTTTAAGGCAACAAACATACCAAATTTCGTGAATTATATGTGAATGTATAAACAAAATATATATATATATATATAAAAAAAACAACTTTTTGAAAAACTATCAATAGACAAAATTGTATAGAAGGTTACAGAACTATTCAACTTGATTAAGCTTAAGGAACAAAATTGCTTTTAGTTAAAGGTTAAAGGGCGAACCAACGTTAAATAAACTTGGTTTAAAAAACAAGTTAATTATTTTTTTTATTAAAATACTTAATACTTATATAGTTATATATATATATAGGTATTATAGGTATATCGTGATATAAATGTTTGAATTTGGATTCATACTTGAGTTTAGAAAAAAACTTTAACAAGGTACCTTGGTAACTGGAAATAATTTAAAAACCAATATAGTAAATTATATTGAGTTTATTATACAACAAATCCTCATAAGTTTAGTTAATATTATAATATTATAATTATGTATTATATTAATAACAAAAATAACGATCAATATAGTAAAGATCCCTGTGGGGGTTAGGGTAAGAATTTATCCTTAGTAGTTTATGTTCATCGTAAAAAGTTGCTGAAATGGATCTAGAAATGAACAGTAGCATTTGTATTATTAAATACTTGAAAAAAAATGAAGGTTGTCACTGTGATGTGGAAGGTGAGGGGAATCCACTGCATATCTTTCTTTGTATTATAACAATAAAATGACTACAGAAGTAATTTTGTTAACTAATCTGAGAATTGAAAACTGAAAAAAAAAACTATTTATAAACAATAATACTTATCAACTTAACTTTATATTTATAATAATTATAATAATGCTTTTTTCCCTCGCTATCAATAATAATTCGAATGATGATAATTTTTTGAAAATCTCAATTCAGAAATCGTAAAAACCCGATTAAAATTCACAATGAATTTCCTGCATGGAATCATTTCCCGAATTGAACTTTTTACCATCGGTTTTATCCGGTGTTAGGTAAGTGCTGAAAAGTGTTGAAATTAGTTCACGTTAAGGTTTATTTTGTTAAAATAGAATTAATTCCAAGAAGCTCGTTTCAGGGTTGGAGAAAGGAATTACATAATTTTCTTGTTTCTAACAGAAGAACATTTTATCGTTCTTAAAAAAATAATTAAAATTATTATTTTGTGTATTGTATATTTATATATTTTTTTTAAGAATTAAATTTGAATATATAATTGACTCTATAAACAACTAACCTGCAAATATTTTTCAGAATTACTTTGTATTTCCTGGGCTTAATCTTTTAAAAACAGAAATCAATAAAATAATTTAAAATTAACGTGTCTCCCCGTTTCCACCTTTATTCCTATAATGATTTACGGTAATTTATCTTTTAAAAAGAGTACCTAATTCTTTTTCAGCGATAACCAAATTAAATTTAAGTAACTGTTTTTTTCCATCAATATCGTTAAGGTAAACCAGAAAAAAAAACATTTAATTTAAAAAATATCAAAACCAATGGGGGTTGAATTTCGAGTTACAAAGTAAACAATAACCTTCGTCTTGTTTTGAATGTTAAGTATTAAAGTTTTTAATCGAAATGAACTGTAGATTTGTATAAAAAGTCAAAAAAAATTGAACTTGATTTTATACAAGGGTTGAACTTTACTTTAAACTAATTGAAGGGTTAAATAATAAAGATAATCGAATTCTGTTTTTATATTATTCACAGGGATAAGGACTAGAAGAGATATTTATTTATATTTCAACCAATTTTGTTATTTTTGAAAAATTGGAAGATATTCATTTAATAGAGTTTATTTTTCTGAAAATGTTAACTTATCAAATTTTTATTTTCTTTAAATTCGTGATTTTAATAATTTTTTAAGTTCTGAGAAAAAAAAGTGCATAGTTAATTAAAAATAATAATAATAATCAATAACAAATGCGATTATAGGCCACTGCAAAATTATAGGTATTTTTCTCTGAATTTTCAACAGTTATTAAATATCACGAGTTTAATGAAAATAAAATGTTTAGACGTTAAGATTTTCAGAAAAATAAACTCTATAAAATGGCTATTTTCAAATTTTTCAAAAATAATAAAATAATAAATTATTATTTTAAGATTTTTACGGAAATATACAAATTGTATTCAAAAATAAATAATTGTAAACCTCATTCCTGCGAGTAATATAATAAAACAAAACACAATTTAATTATCGTTATTATTTCAGGATATATTGCAATGGGTATATATTTGTGGAACACTCTGTATATACGTACTCTTATATAGATAAATGTTTTGTAATTTGTAATAATATTTTGTTTTTAATGTATTTAAATTAAGTATGTAGGTATACCGTTAAGAAAGAAAGAACAAAAAAAATCGTTCATTTTCTTCCAAAAAACAAAATTCTAATAATAATGAAGTTCCTTCAAAGACTTCGATAAATTTCCGAAAAGTGAATGAAATCAAAGAAACAATTTTATTTGAATCCATTCCATCCCACCATTGGTTTAAAACTTTTAATATTAAATGTAATAGGATTTTCAAGTCATATTTCTACTATTTTCAGGACATAGACAGATAAAAAAATAAATGTGTCAACAATTCGTTTTTCATGAGGTATTTGATAAAGCAAAACACATATTTAGTATATATCTACTTATAAATCGAATTAAATATTAAAAATATTTTGATTTTAATTTATTTTGTTACTATCGGGATATACCTACCAGTATTAAGTTAAAATAATATGTTAAGGCTGTGATATAAGTTATGCGTCCAAAGTTGGACACTAATTAATTAAAAAGTTAAAGTTAAATTAAGAAGTTAATTTTAAAGTAACTTTTCAACTTAACTTATTAGTTTTAATTCATAATAATTTTATAACATATCGAGTTAAATTGAATGTGTGAAATAATCTAATTTAATTTGTTAAAAACAATAAGTAATTTATTTTTGTTTTAATTTCGAAAATCCAAAAGTTCCATAGAACTTGGTGTTATCGGTGGCAGTGTTGCCAGGATCGGGGACTTTTCTACAATTTGGGGATTTGTCCATTGTTGAGGAAAAACTCAGAGTATTAGGAAAATACTCAATTAAATTAATTATTGTTAAAAAAAAAAAAAAAACTTATAAAAACGTATTATTTATTAAAAACTGAATTTTCAGGATTAAAATCTTAGGTTATATACCATAGTATATGATCTAATAGCGGTTTCCATATATGTGCACTGTTGTACCTAGAGCGAGTAAATGATATTGCCTAAAAAATTGCTCAGTGCAGTCGATTAATGAATCGCACAGGACACAATTTTCACAAATATAAATTATTTTGTGATTTTTGTGATAATTTACTAAATAGCATACATTATGATTTAACGATTTAACGACACAATTAAACTGGCTACAATAATTCCATTGTCAGCCGCAAGACAATTATCTATAGGTACACACGTAGAAAAAAAATGTAAAATTGCAAATTCATTATTTTCGTTTATTTTTGCAATAATAGTTAATAATAAAATACTATATGATAATAGTTATCTATTTTTTATTCCTGTTAAAAACAACAAAAAAAAAAAACTGTTTTTATCTGTGATAATTAAATGGATAATTGTTCACTTATAATAAATAATATGTTATAATAATAATAATAATTATTATAGATGGATATTATGTTTAAAAAAAATCGAGGATTGAGTAAAGTGAAATTAAGAAAGAAGTTAAGGTTATTACATATCTACTTGAAACATTTGATCGTATTATGAATAGTTCAATTTTTCAATTATCACCAATAAAGTTAGTTACCTACTTAATAATTTATGTAATAAATTTACATTTAAACGAGTTCTTAAATTTATATTTTAAACTAAAAAAAAAAAAAAAAACTAACTTCTAACTAAGTTTGAAATTTGGAAAATTTTAGAAACTAACTTATATTCTTACTTAATTAGTTTTTATAAAAAAATAACTTAACATTAATTAGTTAAAAAAAATGACTAACTCGTCCAATTTCGGGTATGGCATCTTTAATAACTACTTTCACTGGTATAACTATTTATTATTGACAAAAAACATACATTTAAAATAATTTAAACAAATTTCATTTATTTTTTCATGGCATATTTATCGATATTAA